CCCCAAAACCCCAAAACCCCAAAACCCCAAAACCCCAAAACCCCAAAACCCCTTCCTGAACTACAAATATTGAATTATCATTATGAGCTTTACCACTGATGTCTTAGTCTTGTCCTCGCCTCTCCATCTAGATCCTCTTCATCATACCCGTTTGTTGAATCAAGTGAAGGAGGTAGGTCGTCATCATCAACCTTCTTTTTAATTTTCCTTCTTGCTTCAGGAGTATCGTCACCTTTTCCAGAGGAGATAAATAGAATAACTCCTACAATTCACACTGTGATTACTAGCACGGTAAGAATATGTGAAAAGTAGTTTGTCTCATTGCTTGATTTATTCTTCCTCGAATCTTTTGCTAATTCCTTTACTTTCTTTAAATTCTCAGTCAATCTCTCAATATATTTCTGCTGATCATCAACTACTTGTTTGAGGCCTAGATTGATTAATCTCAGGGGTTAGAAAACTTTCTGTTTTAGCAAGAAGGGACTTTACCTTTAACTAGCAAAAGGACATCATTCTTTCCAATATTCTTGCCATTTTCAAGAGTCTCTATAATCTTTTTCCTGAAAAATACCTTCAAAATTTGCTAATTTCTCTTGGAACTTCTTTTGGTCTTCCTTGCTTGATCCAATTTGGGACTGGCTATAAGAGAATTTAGAGCTGTATTTACCCATCTTCTCTTTTTCTACATTCCTCAATCCATTTTTTGACGTTTTCAAATGTCCTTTGGCCTTCATATTTGTACTTGTACATGCTTTTTCCTGGCACGAAATAAACAATGGTTGGAAAGGCATGAATTCCAAATTTATCTGCTAGTTTAGGACTTTTATTAGCATTTATAGAGGAGATCATGATGTCAGTATCTGAATTAAATTTATCAACCATCTTATCCCAATCTGGCTTCCATTTCTGACACCACCCACAGTTCTCGCTAAAGAACTCGACTACATAATGTGTGGATAGAGTTTTAGACTCTATAGTTTTCCATGAGTTGTTTTCATCGATGTTTATAATGCCTTCATATCACTCCACCACCCTGCTAGTACTCCTGTAAGACCGATAAGCAGCATAATGATAACTTTTGGTCTATAGGTATCCATATCTAGTCAATAAAACTCAATATTTATTAAAACTATTGGGGTTTTGGGGTTTTGGGGTTTTGGGGTTTTGGGG